CCTAAAAGTGTAGAAAAAAATCGACAGCCAAATCCGAGTCGAGGAAGACCTCTATTACCACCAAAAAGTCATCCAGGTCAAAAAAAAAAATTTCCAAAAAACTTCAATTTTTCTTAGGCAGAAGATTTTATTGCATATTCTTGCACAAAATACACCTAAAAGTGTAGAAAAAAATCGACAGCCAAATCCGAGTCGAGGAAGACCTCTATTACCACCAAAAAGTCATCCAGGTCAAAAAAAAAAATTTCCAAAAAACTTCAATTTTTCTTAGGCAGAAGATTTTATTGCATATTCTTGCACAAAATACACCTAAAAGTGTAGAAAAAAATCGACAGCCAAATCCGAGTCGAGGAAGACCTCTATTACCACCAAAAAGTCATCCAGGTCAAAAAAAAAAATTTCCAAAAAACTTCAATTTTTCTTAGGCAGAAGATTTTATTGCATATTCTTGCACAAAATACACCTAAAAGTGTAGAAAAAAATCGACAGCCAAATCCGAGTCGAGGAAGACCTCTATTACCACCAAAAAGTCATCCAGGTCAAAAAAAAAAATTTCCAAAAAACTTCAATTTTTCTTAGGCAGAAGATTTTATTGCATATTCTTGCACAAAATACACCTAAAAGTGTAGAAAAAAATCGACAGCCAAATCCGAGTCGAGGAAGACCTCTATTACCACCAAAAAGTCATCCAGGTCAAAAAAAAAAATTTCCAAAAAACTTCAATTTTTCTTAGGCAGAAGATTTTATTGCATATTCTTGCACAAAATACACCTAAAAGTGTAGAAAAAAATCGACAGCCAAATCCGAGTCGAGGAAGACCTCTATTACCACCAAAAAGTCATCCAGGTCAAAAAAAAAAATTTCCAAAAAACTTCAATTTTTCTTAGGCAGAAGATTTTATTGCATATTCTTGCACAAAATACACCTAAAAGTGTAGAAAAAAATCGACAGCCAAATCCGAGTCGAGGAAGACCTCTATTACCACCAAAAAGTCATCCAGGTCAAAAAAAAAAATTTCCAAAAAACTTCAATTTTTCTTAGGCAGAAGATTTTATTGCATATTCTTGCACAAAATACACCTAAAAGTGTAGAAAAAAATCGACAGCCAAATCCGAGTCGAGGAAGACCTCTATTACCACCAAAAAGTCATCCAGGTCAAAAAAAAAAATTTCCAAAAAACTTCAATTTTTCTTAGGCAGAAGATTTTATTGCATATTCTTGCACAAAATACACCTAAAAGTGTAGAAAAAAATCGACAGCCAAATCCGAGTCGAGGAAGACCTCTATTACCACCAAAAAGTCATCCAGGTCAAAAAAAAAAATTTCCAAAAAACTTCAATTTTTCTTAGGCAGAAGATTTTATTGCATATTCTTGCACAAAATACACCTAAAAGTGTAGAAAAAAATCGACAGCCAAATCCGAGTCGAGGAAGACCTCTATTACCACCAAAAAGTCATCCAGGTCAAAAAAAAAAATTTCCAAAAAACTTCAATTTTTCTTAGGCAGAAGATTTTATTGCATATTCTTGCACAAAATACACCTAAAAGTGTAGAAAAAAATCGACAGCCAAATCCGAGTCGAGGAAGACCTCTATTACCACCAAAAAGTCATCCAGGTCAAAAAAAAAAATTTCCAAAAAACTTCAATTTTTCTTAGGCAGAAGATTTTATTGCATATTCTTGCACAAAATACACCTAAAAGTGTAGAAAAAAATCGACAGCCAAATCCGAGTCGAGGAAGACCTCTATTACCACCAAAAAGTCATCCAGGTCAAAAAAAAAAATTTCCAAAAAACTTCAATTTTTCTTAGGCAGAAGATTTTATTGCATATTCTTGCACAAAATACACCTAAAAGTGTAGAAAAAAATCGACAGCCAAATCCGAGTCGAGGAAGACCTCTATTACCACCAAAAAGTCATCCAGGTCAAAAAAAAAAATTTCCAAAAAACTTCAATTTTTCTTAGGCAGAAGATTTTATTGCATATTCTTGCACAAAATACACCTAAAAGTGTAGAAAAAAATCGACAGCCAAATCCGAGTCGAGGAAGACCTCTATTACCACCAAAAAGTCATCCAGGTCAAAAAAAAAAATTTCCAAAAAACTTCAATTTTTCTTAGGCAGAAGATTTTATTGCATATTCTTGCACAAAATACACCTAAAAGTGTAGAAAAAAATCGACAGCCAAATCCGAGTCGAGGAAGACCTCTATTACCACCAAAAAGTCATCCAGGTCAAAAAAAAAAATTTCCAAAAAACTTCAATTTTTCTTAGGCAGAAGATTTTAT